TTTCAAAATTTTGAAAATGAAAAACACATTTGAATTTTGAAAGGCATTAGAGGTTAGTTACTCAGCAGACAACGAGTCCCATCAAAAACGGAATCCGATAATAATTCAGACTCAAAAATGCTAACGCATGATCCTCCCATGTCTAAAATCGTCTAATCAGTAACAATCAATTAACACAACACATTTCTCTTTTTGGCTCCTTCCTTATTGACGTAAGCACCGGGGCGTTTCAAATTAATTTCCCGAGCGCCAAACCGGTTATAAAATTGGAAATCCAAATTACTCATCCCCCACTCTCTTCTCCTTTTTTCCTCTTTTTAATTAAATTTCAAAATCCCCTTTCCCTCCGTCTTCCCCCCAGCGCTCCGGTGAAATGACCGTCGGTGCTCTGAAAATGGAGGTAGCATCAACTCCGATCAGATCTTGTTCAAAAGAACACCAAAAGATCTACAAAGATTGGTTCAGCATCGCCGATTCAGGTTTCCTACATTTTTCTTTTTTGTTTTGTTTTTTTAATACTTCAACGCTGAACTGTTCTTTTCTAAGTTGAATCTAATGGTGACGGTGAGAGTATCGATTGTGTTTCTGTGTAGATGGAGATGGACGTATCACTGGAAATGATGCTACAAAGTTCTTCGCCATGTCGAAGCTTTCTCGTCAAGAACTCAAGCAGGTATTGCGAGCTCCTCAGCGTCGATCTATAGTCCTTTCAAATTTTAAGATGACATTTGAAAGTTTAATCTTAAACATCGCTGATTACTTGATTTTGTGAACTATTGTCTTGTTTGGGGTGATTTTGAAATTTATTACTGATTAGAGCATGCTTAATGGTGATTCATAGTTCAATCGATTGTTCTTATACTTTTGTAGGGAATTTGCGACTTAATTTGAGTTTTTATGAGATATAGGAATGTTTAATTAATCTTATCAAGCATATTCTAGTATGTTGATTTCTGTTATTCCTGCTCTCTTTTGTATTTTGGTTGCTTTAAGGATTTATTTTGACTGCGTTATTTATCTTTTTTCTTCCTTTACTAGATTTGGGCAGTTGCAGATTATAAACGACAAGGATTTTTAGGTTTGACAGAGTTCGTTACTGCTATGCAGGTTGTATGTTGAAACATAGTTGCTTTTTTATATTTTATATTTTCTAATTAATGGAATCTAACTCTCCGATCTTGTCCTATTATGCAGCTGATTTCTCTGGCACAGGCAGGACATGAAATAAACTCGGATATTCTTAAAAATTCAGGCAAGTAAAGTAGTTGGAGGCTGTAATAATTCAAGATTTTATAAGTAATTGTTTTTGAATTGCAGTGAGACATTTGGAAATGCTTATCCAGCTCTGTAGTTCATATCATTGTGAAATATAGATTTGTGGATCTCATTTTCCATTCACATTCTAATGAATGTGTAGCAACTAGCAGCTTTCAATTGTTGAAGATAAGCATTCCTTTAAGGCAGTTGGGCTTGGTTTCTATATAAACATGGTTCATCTGATAGTCTTGTTGTTGATTTGTCATTGCCCCTTTTTCAGCTGACATGGAGAATATTGATCCTCCAACTATGGAAGGTTTGGATGCTTTTCTAGCTGTAAGTTCTTCTCCTTGTTTTACCTTCTCAATATAACTCTTGTAAAGAATACTTGGTTTTGCTTTTATTTTGGCCTTCAAATACTTGGTTTCACACTTTCACTAAGTTTCCTTCATTTGGATGTTCTTTCCCCAGAAAAATAATGGTTCAACAACAAATAATGAGTCTGAAATGAATGGTTAGATATCATCCTATCCAGTGAATGTTGTTAAATGTTGATGATTTTGTTAGCTGGTCTGTTTTACTAGTTTACTGTTGATGATGTAGGATCTGTTCCACCCCAACTTTCAACCACAACTCAGTGGTTTGCTTCAAAGTCTTCAAAGAAGAAGGTCATATTTCTGTTTCATTTTGCAATTAAGGAGTGTTACCTCAAGTTTGACTTGCTTGCTGTCTCAATATGACAACTTCTTCTCTTTGTTGATATATATGGCTAGGCTTTTTGTAGCAATGTTTTTCCAATAACATTTTCTTGAATTTATTGGTAACTCTTAAGGCCTGTTAAGCTCGGCCTTTAAACTATAATATTGACTTATATTATTATATTAGAAAATGCATCTTCATTCTTGTTTGTTTCTTGATGGGTTTCTGTTTTTCTTTTTCTTGTTCAGACCCCTCCTGTCTCAGTTACATCAATTATAGATGGTTTGAAGAGATTGTATAATGAAAAGCTAAAGCCACTGGAAGTAACCTATCGTTTTAATGATTTTGTGTCACCTCCATTGGTAAGTGGATTTGCCTATGCTTCATTTATTTGTAAAGCAAGGCCTTTTGCAGTTTTGCTTAATGGAAGTGTATGTTGGTTTTCTTCTTAGCTTGGGTCGTGTATTCTATGTACAGGATGCTTCCAACTAATGTGGTGAATTAACTTTGCGGTTTTTTTTTTTTTTTTCTATGCAGACAAACAGTGACTTTGAAGCTAAACCTATGGTCATGCTTTTGGGTCAATATTCTACTGGGAAAACAACATTTATAAAACATTTGTTGAGATGCAATTACCCAGGTAAGTTTACTGCTTTTACTCATTTTTTTATTAAATCAATTAACACAACTGGTAGGTTATGACAAGTTTCTTGGCACTTTGTAGGAGCTCACATTGGACCAGAGCCCACTACTGATAGATTCGTTGTTGTCATGGTATGTTAGCTATGTTGAAGTTCCTCAGTTTTGGATGCCATTTATCTGACTGATGAAATATTGCGAGACTGGTTAAATGCACAATCTGATTGCAGTACTTGCAATATTTTACAGTAGTGACCTACTCCTACAATGCAGCATCTTGGATTGTCCTCATCATTCTCACATTATGTATTGGCTTTATTTTGTTTTCATTTCTAGATGTAAGATATTTATTGTAGTAGTATTGCTTTTAGTCTAGATTTTTAAGTTGGTCTGCTTTTATAGGAAATGAGTAGTTCTACACTTCTTTCTTTGGTGGCTGTCTCTAATGGTCATTGTTTCTTTTAACTCAGTCTGGACCTGATGAAAGGAGTATACCTGGGAACACTATTGCAGTTCATGCAGATATGCCATTTAGTGGCCTGGCAACTTTTGGAGGAGCATTTTTGTCAAAGTTTGAGTGTTCTCAAATGCCACATCCAGTACGAGTTTCTGCAATTTTCTTATTTTCTCTTGTCATTTTTTGATCTAATATATGTTGCTAAAATCATCATTATGTTTGCAGCTGTTAGATCAAATTACTTTTGTGGACACTCCTGGAGTTTTATCTGGGGAAAAACAGCGAACACAGCGTACTTATGATTTTACTGGTGTTATCTCATGGTTTGCTGCCAAATGTGATCTCATCCTTCTTCTATTTGATCCACATAAACTAGATATCAGTGATGAATTCAAGCGCGTAATTGCATCCTTACGTGGTAACGATGACAAGATACGTGTTGTGTTGAACAAAGCTGACCAAGTTGATACGCAACAAGTGTGATTCTCTGTTCCCTATCGCTGCTTATTTTTATTTGTAGAATTTGACACATTAATTACAAAGTGATTATGTCATAATGCAGCTAATGAGAGTATATGGAGCGCTGATGTGGTCACTTGGAAAAGTTCTAAATACACCTGAGGTTGTGCGTGTTTATATTGGGTGAGTTCTATTTTCAAGATTATTTTGTTTCATGGCATCAGAGCATAGTTATTGCATAAATGTGATCTTGATATGACAGGCACAGACCTTATCTTTGTATGAAACTAAACTTCTGAAGTCTCATGTAATCTTAATATGAGACCTCAGGACCAAATTCACAGGAGCATTTTCCTCTAGCATTAATTTTTCTACTCTTGAAATTTGTGTTAATTGTTACAGCTCTTTCAATGACAAGCCCATTGAAGAAGCTGCTGCAGGTCCATTAGGGCAAGATCTTTTTGAGAAAGAGCAAGATGATCTTCTCATGGACCTCATGGATATTCCAAGGAAGGCCTGTGATCGTCGGGTACTTTCTCTTCATAATTATTTGTTTGCTCATCCATTATCAACAGCCATGTTTACCTCTATGTTATTGGCCTGAGTGTTTGTGTTTATCTTCTTTTTTTCCTAATCGGTTGTTTATACATTGTATGCTACATTCTGCAGATAAATGAATTTGTAAAGCGTGCTAGAGCTGCCAAGATCAATGCCTATATAATCAGTCATCTTAAAAAGGAGATGCCTTCTATGATGGGAAAAGCTAAAGCTCAACAACGACTTATCGACAATCTTCAAGATGAATTTGGAAAGGTATTTCTGTTCTTTTTCAGTCGTTTAGTTTCTCCATTATACATGTCCTTATCCTTGCAACCTCTATGAAACAGGTTCAACGAGAATTCCACCTTCCAGCGGGAGACTTTCCGGATGTGCAGCACTACAGGGAGACCTTGAGCGGTTACAACATCGATAAATTTGAAAAATTAAAACCTAAGATGATTCAAGCGGTCGATGATATGTTGGGATACGAAATACCGGAGCTTCTAAAGAATTTCCGAAATCCATATGAATGAAGGAAAAATCCCATGGAAGCGAACTGTTCTCTTGCCTCTTAGAACATGTTATTGCTTTTGGAGCTTGTTATAAGATTTTCATTTTTTATTTTTGGGCCAAATTATCAGATCTTCTTTTCATGTGTATTTTTCTTGCAAATCAGGTGCTGTTGGTGTTAATATTATGCAACGTTTAAGAAAACTTATTCATATCATTCCTAATTTCAGTCTTGAGAGAATCGTGAATCTAATTTAATGAGGGTGCTCGGTAGGGTAAAAGTTTTTATTCTTTAATTTTTTTATTTTTTAAAGTTATTTATATATTTTTATATATTAATATTATAATAAAAAATAAAAGTGATATTATGAGTA